AGACAGACAGACAGACAGACAGACAGACAGACAGACAGTCTTACAGATAAACCTCTGACCCGCTAGAGATCGACTTGACGAGATCTCAATTTATGACAGACCAACAATTGTAAGCCACAGATACAACACACACACAGTATGTCTATCTATATGACGTAACTGGAAAATGCCACACATCGCCGTGCCGACACTGTCTCGGTCATGGCGGAGGCAGACTGCCTGGACCCTGAATGTCACAACGACCCCGGGCAGAGAGATACAACGCCCCTGCACACAGACACAGATACTCGGTACTCGGTTAACTTTCTCCCCACTCGGGAATCGAACTCATGGTTTCTGTGAGCAATAGCGAAGCATCCTGCCGCTACACTAAAGACACATGAGGCTCGAACCCCCGAACCCACAACCTCACGATTACGAGTCCGGTAGCCTAACCACTAGACCACCGACGCCACGAGGACATAGCGCAAATACATCACAGGTCGATTACAACAGGCAGAACGTTCAGGTTCCATCTTTGGCTGCTTAGAGCGTCTTTTGAAGTTCTCTTCTACTCGTTGTACATTTTGTCAGCGATGTCCGAAACCCAGAGGTGCCTCAGAAGATGTTTATTTGTTTATTTGTTTGTTTATTTGTTCGTTTATTTGTTCGTTTGAGTAAAAGCGAGCACATCGGCACAATGATAGTCATTTAGTGCTGGGGAAAAGTAAGACAGACAGACAGAAACAGCAGAGGGAAAGTAAAGAAGTGGGACCGACCAGTGGCGCCCTCCTTCCACCAGCGTCAAATAAGAGGAGACAACTCTCTCCAATATCTCAACAGTCGGCCCATCAGGAAGAACGACAGAGCGTGTAAAAGATGTGAGATAGAGAGAAGTCAGTTCTATGATCTCCCCCGCGAGGGGAACTACCAAAATCCCCACCACCACCGACGTTATTCACTATTTGTAAATACCGCCATTTTCACTCATGTAACCCCGGGGCAGTGCTACTGACTGAAGTGTCTTTAGGCCATTCCCAAAGGGGGGATATTAACATGTTCTTATGCACAGTAGAATTGTAATTTATGGGCTGATTCATCAATGTCATGCTCATACTGTGCCGGAACTGCTACAGGAAACTGCTGCTTTTTCTTTTCGTCCTTCTTACTATCCCCATTTTTCCTCTACTTCTTTGGTAGGTTCGTCACTCTCTTGTGACACGCTATTTCCGGGGTGTCTTGATAGCCGAAGCAGACTTTTGCTCTAGAGAGTTGAGGTTAGAGAGGTGAGCAGAGTAAGTCTGATTCCCTGTAAGTCTGTAAGGACTTCTCTGTTGACATCCACCACTTGGCGCTCATATGACCTAATGCAGTTGCAAGCGCCGTAAAACCTTACTAAAACATCCAGCCCTTGGCGCTCATATGACCTTATGCAGTTGCAAGCGCCGTAAATTCTCTACAAAAACTTCCTTGACTTCCCAACAGCGTCCATGGCCGGTCTGGTGGTACAGCGCTGTAGCCTGTTAGGCGCACACCCCTATCATGTCTCATAGTGCGTCTGTGCCGTGCCGTCATATACAGGGTGAAGTGAGGATACTAGGGAAATATAGACAAAATCATACAGGGGTGTGTTGGGGG